GAAAGTGAAGGTAAATTTAAATTCACATTTCTTAGTAATATTCTTATATATGACTGTAGCTTAATGTTCAAATTTACAGGCGTCAAGGCACCAAAACCCGGAAAAGTCTCATGCCGAGGTTATTATTGTCAGCAGGTCGTTTATTCCATCAATATGTTGTTGATATGTACATAAAGTGCAATGACCATGAATTTTTGATAATAGTTTAAATAATTTTTCGATATTTTAAAGTATTAAATTATTATTTTTAAAAGAGTGTTTATATTTTCTCGATTTTCTAGAATTTTCTACGATTTAAAAATCAGATTTTATATTTATTTAATGATTTTGATAATTATAAACTAACTTGTTGCGGAGAAAACTTTTAAATTAATATTTGTTTTATTACTATTATTGTTATTATAAGTATTGTATTAATTATAATCTTTTTTCTAATTATTCCTATTTTTTCCTAATTATAAACCCTAACCCTAAACCTATATATACCATTTCTCCTCCCTCTCTCTCTCTCTCTCTCCACTCGCTGCTGCTCCCTCAGCCTCCGACAACCCCCGCAGTCCCACGTTCGACCCCCTCGGCCTAGATCCGCACGCCGACAGCCCACGCCAGCGCCCCAACACCGATGCTCGTCGTAGTCTTGCACGTCAACGTCGATACGTTCAAAAAAAACCCGAGGCAAGATCCCGCTTCTCTTGACTCGTCATTTCATATTTAGATCTATTATGAATTATATGCATAGATTAGACTGTGATTTAATTATGTTGTAGTATGAATATTGTAATATTATGTATGGATTTGTTGTTGAATGGTATTAAAGAACTTTAAAGGAATTTATTTTGTAAAAAGGGTTGGTTTTGAATTATTATGATAATAAATATGATAAGTAGTATTTTTAGATTAATTATAATAATTTAAAAGAATTATTCTGGCAACGAAATCATTTTAGGAAAATTATGATAAATTATAAGAAGTTATTTTGGAAAAAGAATCATTTTATTATAATAATAAACATTTAAAAGAATTTATTTTGTAAAAGGATTATTTTAAGTAAATAAATTTATTATTTTAGAAGATTATTTTTTAGAACAATTTTAGGATTTATATTTCTTAGATTTAATTATCTGATATGCCATGATATTATTGCTCATGATCAGTTATATTTCTTGTTGTGATTGAGAACCATTAGTAGTTCATGACTTAGTGGCTTTGCACGTCATGAACAAGACTTAGTGACATGTGTGTGTGTGTGTGTGCGCGTTGACTAAACTTAGGAGGTGGACCAGAGATCTATTGTAGGTCATGTTTGTTGACTTAGAAAAATAAGAAGAGTTGGGATGAGAGAGTCATAGTTCATGTGATCGGATGTGATTGTTGATGTATCTTCCAGACTCGCACCAGTGACTTGTTTCGTCCTGGAGTTAGTTTGTTGGGCCAAGTGGCCTGTTTCGTCACTTTGGTCAGTAGCCTGTTTCGTCACCTGAGTTTTGCTTGAGTTCGAACTAGGCCAAAATCAGATTGCGTGTAGTCCTCTAGCCGTCTGTTTCGCGAGATTAGATGCGCGTAGATGATTTGTAAACAGTCAGTTATCCGATGATATGAATGTTGACTCTACGAGAGATGTGGACCAGTGAGCTATTATAGGATGGCTAGTTGTATGACCTTGATACTTGGATGATTATGGATTCTTCTGATTGTTATACTCTAGTGGTGGATTCCATCTAGCTTGTTAGTATTCTAGTTGTATGTTCTTTTCATTATTATTGTTATTGCTTTTGGTCGTTCGACCGTTCCTATTCTCCCTTGTGGGGTCTTGCCGTGTGCCATGTACGCTGACGTACTTCTGTCCTCTCGGGTTGTACGTCAGATTTAGAGGACAGACATGTCCAGTATGATGATGCTTTGGAGCCGGAGTATTCCCAGCCGGAGTGTCTTCCAGATGAAACAGAAGAACAAACTGGAACTTAGTCATTTTCTTTTTTGTAGTCGTTGATGGACACTAGATTACTTATGTAGTACTTTCTCTTTTAGTCTTTCGAGGGGTTTAGTTATTTTTGCAGTACTTCCTTTTTTATTTCTGTTGGACTATGTACTTTTATATTTTTAGTTGGACTATTTTGTAATAAGGGCATGTTTAACCCAAATTTTGTATCTCGGATGATATTCTATTTGTGATATGACTCTTTTCTATTCTGAGTTGTTTATTATATTCTTGCTAATTGTGATCGGGGACCTGTGACTGGTTTTATATTGCTTGACGCTTAGCGTATGAGATTGAGAAGAAATTGTCTATTATTTATTCTCCTCAATCTAATATGTCGTGGGCTTGTTCATGTTTCGATTTCCTAGTATTTTGGGAAGCGGGGTGTGACATAAAGCTTAAAACAACAAGACTTGATTACTTTAGAAATAAACAATCAAAAATCAGAGCAGAGTTATTCCAAGGCATTGTTAACAGTGTAGCTGCCGGGGAAGCAAATGCATGCCAAGTGGGCAAGAGAATAGTGCTTCCATCATTCATAGGTGGTCCTAGAGACATGCGTCGTAGATATCTTGATATAATGTCATTAGTACAACTATTTGGAAAGCCAGATCTTTTTATAACAATGACATGTAATCCAGAATGGGAAGAGATCGCTGAGCAACTACATCCAGGTCAGACCCATAATGATAGACCCGATCTAACCTCAAGGATATTTCGAGCAAAGCTCCAAGACTTGAAAGATCAACTCTTTAAAAAGGTGATCTTTGGAAAAGTTGCCGCACATGTTCACGTGATTGAGTTTCAAAAAAGAGGTCTACCACATGCACATATCTTAATAATTCTCATTAGAGATCACAAGATCATATTATCGGATCAGTATGATAAGTATGTATCTGCAGAAATTTCAGACCAATCCAAACACCCAATCCTCTATGAATTGGTAAAAAAACCATATGATACACGGACCTTGTGGGGGAGTTGAACATGAAGAACAGTTGCATGAAAAATAGAGAGTGCAAATATAACTATCCTCGCGAATTTAGCTCACAATCAATGCAAGCAAAAGATGCTTACCCAATTTATAAGAGGACGAAAGATAACAAAACAATGTTGGTCCGTAATAAAATCCTTAATAATCAGTGGGTTGTACCTTACAATCCATATTTGCTGACACATTATAATTGTCACATTAATGTTGAAATATGCTCAGGCATTAAAGTAGTGAAGTTCCTTTACAAATACATATATAAGAGTCATGATAAAGTGGCAGTAAACATTGAATATAATGAAGGAGGAAGACTTGTGAATGAAATAAAAAAAATTTAAGATGCAAGGTGGGTATCGGCTCAAGAAGCTTTGTGGAGAATATATGAATTCTATCTTAATAAGATCTACCTAGTTGTCATCAACTTACAACTACACTTGCCGAATCAACAGTTTATTTCCTATTGGAAAAATCAAGACCTATCGAAGCTCATCTGCTGGGACTATGTCTCCAAGACAATGCTTACAGAATTTTTTACACTATGTTCAAAAATTAAAGAAGCAAACAAATCAAAACCAGAAAAAGACCAGAAAAAAGAGTTATTATATTGTGAACTTCCCGAATACTATGTTTGAGATTCGACGACAAAATGTTGGAGTTCAAGAAAACAAAGACAAGTGATAGGTCGTATAAATGGTGCTAATCCAGTTGAAGGGAAAAGATATTACTTACGACTTTTACTTACTCACATCAGATGCCCCACCACATTTGAGAATATATTGACCGTGGATGGAATTTAATGCACATCATTCAAACAATCAGCCCAGAAAATTAGGTTTATTGGAATTAGATAATAGCATTAGAGAATGCTTAGATGAAGCCGTCATCTTTCAAATGCCAGCAACCCTTCGCCGTTTGTTTGCAACCATACTTGTTCATTGTGAGCCTGCAGATGTTAATAAATTACGGGATCAATACCTTGACGCATTATTTGAAGACTTCTCAAGGAAACCTGGTGCTACAAGAAATTCGATGATAATGACACCCTTTGCAACATTAAATTCTTCTTAGACAATATGGGAAAGGATATCAAGAAAATTTAATTTACCACCTGTTCAACCTAACCCTAATTTAGAAGGAATTTCATACCCAAGAGAAATTCAAGATGAACCCACTGTACAAATTCCAATTGAAGACCTCAATGCTGAATCAACACTTAATTCTGAACAATATAATGCATATACTTCCGTGTTATCACGAGTTCAGGCAAATAAAAGTAGGATTTTCTTTATTGATGGGCTAGGAGGAACAGGGAAGACATTCTTATACCGTGCTCTACTTGCCAAAGTAAGATTAGAAGGGATGATAACTCTTGCTACAACGACATCAAGCGTAGCAGCTGTAATAATACCTGGAGGCCGAACATTACATTCCAGATTTAAGATAAAAATCCCAACAACAGAATCATCTATGTGTAGCATATCCAAGCAAGATGGAACCTCAAAATTGATTAAGATAGCTAGATTAATAATTTGGGATGAAGCTCCAATGGGTAAACGCGTTGCAATTGAAATATTAGATATAACATTAAGGGATATAATGGACCGAGATCATCCATTTGGTGGCAAAGTAATTGTATTTGATGTGGATTTCAGACAAGTTTTACCGGTAGTACCCCGCGCAACAAGATCACAAACCGTTAGAGAAAGTTTAGTGAGCTCATATTTGTGGAGAAAAATGGAAAAGTTGAAGCTATCAAAGAATATGAGAGCAATGACAGATTCAACATTTAGCGACTTTCTTCTTAGAGTTGGGAATGGAGATGAACCGACAGTGGCTGATGACCTAATAGCGTTGCCCACATCTATTTTGATTAAGAATCAAAGTATTGATTTACCAGAAGATTGTCTCATAAAATCAATTTTTCCATCTTTAGATAAGAACTTCCAATCCATTGACTATATGAAAGATCGAGCTATCCTAGCAACAAAAAATGAATATGCCGACATGCTAAATGATAGAATCATAAAATAATTTCCAGGTAAAGGAAAAGAATTCTACATCTTTGATGAAGTAGTTGATGACACTAATCATCACTACCAGCAAGAGGTCCTAAACACGTTGCTACCAAATGGACTATCACCCCACAAGCTGGTGTTAAAGAAACATTGTCCTATTATTTTATTAAGGAATCTGGATCCGACTAATGGGCTATGCAATGGAACAAGAATGATATGTCAAGATTTTAATTGTAATATAATTCATGCTAAGATCACAATGGGCCAACATGCTGGGAAAGAAGTTTTTTTGCCAAGAATACCGTTATCTCCAGCAGAAGATGAGAGGTTTCCATTCAAGTTCAAACGAAAGTAATTTCCAATACGGCTATGTTTTGCAATGACAATCAATAAATCACAAGGACAAACAATTCCACATGTAGGCATCTATCTACCTTAACACGTTTTCTCTCATGGACATCTATATGTTGCTTTATCACGAGGGACTTCAATGACAACAACCAAAGTCCTAATAATATCAGACGGAAAATTTAAAGAAGATGAAAGATATACAAAAAAGCTGGTATACAAGGAAGTCCTCCAATCAACAAACATGTATTGAACTTCAAAGTCACAATAGCTATTCTAAAGGTAATTAATTTTTCAGAATAATTACATATGTTCATTCATGTTCATTCCTATAATTTATAATTTTTAATATTGTATAACTTTTTTTCCTTTAGCATTCACTTAATTTTTTTCCCCATTCAAACTATATTATGAGTTAATAATATTCAAAACCATATGAGGAACAAAAAATAATAAATTCATTTTCTAAGCTCTGGTATATTCTATAATATTGGTCAAAACTAACATGTATATTTTAATCTAATTAACAGGAAATATGACTACCAGTACTGAAGGCCAAACTCAACAAATCCATATAAGTCAGCTCAAAAAGTTTCAGAAAGAATGGACCATTCATGTTATCATACTTCGAAGTGCGGAGGCCACTTACAAAAATACAAAAGGATCAGGAAAATTACTAAAGCTAATTCTCGCTGACGCTAAGGTAAAATTAAATTATTCTTTATATTATATTGCTTGCACAAAGTTACGTCTGATGACATGAATATAGTTAAACCTCATTATTTGGTAAATTTCATTAAAACACCAATAACTTTCATAATGCCTTTTTATGTTGTTTTTTTGTTTATATATAACTAATTAAAATATAATATATAGCTTAGTATTAATTAATTATATTTTCCATACATTGATATCTGGTGCTAATAATATTTGTAGGGTAATAAAATACAAGAAGTTATGGACGGAGAGACTATCAAAAAGTTTATAGACATGCTTCTAAAAAATCAAATTATTTTCATTTCAAATGGAGAAGTGAAAGGAATAAACCTAGCTTTTCCAAGTATCCACAAGTCACTTAAATTAGTATTAACAAAAGACGTATCTATCAAAGAAGCACCAACAACAGGTTTCCACTTGGAGAACATATTAAACAACTTTGTCCTATTTGAAGAAGCATTTTCCATGAAAGATGCAACAAAAATTAGTAAGTATTTATAAATTTCTTACTTTAATCTTCAATACAAAATGAAACATAAAATTATAGAATCATAATCTTTTTATAAAATTACTTGAAGATATTTTTGCAATAATAACTAACGCGAAGCAGGCGATCAACTATATTACAAGACATAACAAACCAGACACTATAAGGGAAATCACGCTAATGGATATAAGGTATATTCATGATACTTATTTTCAATATTATAAGAAAAAATAAAATTAACGTTTTTTCTTTTTTTATATACAGTGGAATGCCTATGCGTGTAACTTTATTTGGAGATTTGGCTACAAATGAAGGATTAATTTTTCAATCCGAAATCAAAGATAAGCCTGTAATAGCATTATCGGATTTTAAAATCTCTATATATCAAGGTATATAATTTATTATTGAAATTCTTATTAAAGATATCTAAACATAAATTTAATCCTATAATTATCTCAATTTGACAGGGGAGACGAACATATCATCGCAAATTATATCAACAATATGTATCAACCCAAAAATAGAACTAGCTAGAGACTTAAGAGAATGGTAAGTAGAACAAGCATACTTACTTCCATACAACCCAATAATGAAAGAGTATTAGGTTTTAATCTAATATGCAAGTTTCAATTGAAAGAAACCGCAAAAGCAAAAGGATCACCATCGACGCTTTTTAAAAATGCAAAGGAAATTCAAATTAGTGATATTATGCATACAACCCAGAATTCGACACAGTTACAATATTAGAAACCTATTCTTATTAACAAATTTAAATCTAACTAAATTTTTGTTAATATACAGGCACAATATTGCACATTTAAGGCAAAGATAACTACTATTTTAAATAGGCTCGATTTGTTAATATACAGGCACAATATTGCACATTTAAGGCAAAGATAACTACTATTTTAAATAGGCTCGAGTCATAGTTCTATGCTTGAAAAGGTTGTGACAAGAAGGTAGATAAAGATGTTAGTAAAGAGTGTCTGAATAGCAAATGCCGCAGAATCATTGATGACCCAGTATGAAGGTTATGTAATATATCTTTTTTTATGACATGAACATATTAAAATACAATACTAACTATCTCTAGAAATAAACAATAAAAACTACAGGTACTTAGTCAAGGTTCTCGTGGAAAATAGCACGGATAATACAAGAGTAATACTCTTTGACGCAGCAGAAACTCTTATTGGATGCATAGCAGAAAAATTCATTACAGAAAAAAGAGGTAATTCCTAACTCTATTCAAGTAATAATTTAGAAATAAAAAAATCCATAAGTATTAAAATAACATTTGTTCTTATTGCAACAGAAAAATAATCAGAGTCCATATTTCTAGAAATTTGTTTTGAACATCGGAAAAATGTTCAAATTCCTGGTGAAGTTAGATGAAATGACAAAAGATGAACGAGACGAAGGAAATATAATAGCACAAGAAATTCAACTCCAGACCGATATTACAATCGACATAGATGATGAAGATGTTACTCTAGAATTGCCCAGGAAAAAGATAAAGGTGAAGAAAGATTGATCTTGATTCAATTAGAAATTTTCAAGTACAATATTTTTAAATCATTTTATATCATAACTTAATTTTTGAGTATAATTAGAAATTTTTATAAGGGATTTTCATGCAAAATTATTAGTAGTTTTGTATGCTTATGTGATTGCTTTCATCACATAAAATTACAGTTTGATATTTAAACATTTCTTATCTTTTATTATTGTCTATGGATATGATCCTACATTTATGATATGTTTGTGATCCCTTCATCAAGTTACCATAATATTGAATATTATCTTCTTTATTTCTTTGAAGAATTTAGCAACTAAGTTATCATTTTTGGGTTTTTATGTATGCTCGCAACTACTGAATTATATCTTAACAATCATCAGTCAACCTCTTTGAATTCTAATTTCTAATCCAAAGGATTTCTTCTCCCATGCAATATAATCTTTGGTTAATAATTTATACTTTTAGAGAGGAAATTTGTACATAAGCACATTGAAAGATAGAACTTGCCCTCTTTATTTGTACTATTCAGTGTGGACTGATCTGGTATTGCTAAGACAAGATCATGTGAAATCTCTTTGACTATGTTAATGCTAATTTATTATTCTTTCTCAACGTAATTTGTCTCAAAAATCATATACTTTAAACTATATTAGAGGATAACTTAGGAATAAATACAATATACATTATCTGCTAGAAATTACAACAAGAGTGCATTTAACCCTTCCCAAGTACTGATGTGCGAATCAAGTTCTCTAGATCGTAAGAGGCATTCGATAAAACTCTGCTTTGATTGATCCTATGAATGGATATGTTGTTAGCTAGATGTAAATTATTCTTTCTGATAACTAGCGCAACATGTGATCTAACATTTATGACATAAAGGTGGCCTCTTTAAAAAATTGGCAAAGAATTACCATTGAGCCAAATTTGTTTTGTCCTGTATCCGTAAAAATATGATTAATGTTTACTGTTGTGATGATTTTTCTTGGGGTTGTTACAAACTTCAATATTCAATGTTTTTAAATAAATTTCTTGGCTTACTAATTGTTACTTTTTAAGGTTGTTGCCATGTTGAATAAGGGAACAAATTTGATCAATATTTACTTTCATAATCGAATTAAGTTCTTGTTGGGTGATGGTGATGGTGATAAATTTTAACTTCTTTAAAGAAAAAGAATTTACAAGTTTGCAGTAAATCAGACAATGATACTAGCTTATTGAGTCAAAAAATAATTGAATAAACTTAAAATTTTTCAATATTTTCTTTATTGCTATAACTATAGTTCATAATGACAATTACAATATCTCAGTTAAGTATATTCATCCCAATTTAGCTTAATAATCCAATACATTTATTTTTATTAATATTTACATAAGATACTAATAAATCTAATAATTTAATTTTACATATTTGAACTCAAGATGAATCTAACTTATTTAAAATAATGAAATAAATATAAAAGGAAAAATATTTTGATATTCAACCACGTGCATTGCACGTACATCTCAACTAGTATGATGAAAAGGGCGAATCACTTTCTGAAGGGAGGAGAGACGCGTGGGGATTCTTGCTTCTTTTTAATGGACGGTTCAGATAAGTCTCGGATACAAATGTATCCATATTCGCTTGCTATATTCATAGATGTCAATGTGATGTTTCGATAAGAAAAAGGCCAAATATCAGAAAACCTCCCTTTAACTTTGAAAAATTAGTGGAAAACCCTCCTTAACTTTCAAAAATATCAGAACCCCCACCCCACCCGCCCCTTAAAGTATCGGGATTATCAGAAAACATCCTTTTAGATTTTATAAAAAACGCCCTTTGACTTTTGGATTTCATCAAAAATAGGGGGATTTCCTAATAGAACTTCAAAATTAAGAAGTGGTTTTCTAATAACTCCTAAAGTCATGGGGGGTTTCTGATATTTATAAAGTTAAGTGGAGC